CAAGAAGATCATAAATAAAACTGTCAAAAAGCTCGAGGAAAGTGTGCCTCATGTACTGTCATAAAGGTTTGGTTAGAACTCTGTTTGCATTAATGTTAATATGGTGTTAAATATTATGATGTTAAATGGAACTGAATTGGCCAGTAGTGTATTGGATTGTTATGAAGCTTGTTAGCATATGCTAGTCTGAACTGGAGCTATTGTGTTGTTAAAGTTTAGAAGTCCATTTAATGAGCATGTAACAAACTGAACTGAGTCTGCAAACCATTAATTAACTAATTTGAAGTTTGAATTGTTATTGGTTTCAATTGTTGTACTATTAAAAGTAATATTCAAAAATTAGTTATAAAATGAATGCTAGTAGTTAGTTAATTGCTAGGAGGTAAAAAAAAGTTAGATGGAAAATCAATTATGAGAACTATGCAGGTTAATTATTTATATTGCTGTATTGAAGTTTAACTGTTATGAACTATTGAAATTGATTTGTGAATGGGATTAGTATGTCATAAAAGCTAACATGTTGGTGAAAAATGCATGAATTGTTAGCTTCGAATATGAACAAGATTGATCTGTCAGTGCTGTTAAAAATGAACAAAAACCAATTAAAACTATATGTTAAATTATCTTGGATTGGATGTTAGTGATTAGGGTTATGCTAACTTGTTAGTGGATTGTGCTAGGTGAACTATTATTGTTGTTGTGCCAATGATTTAGCCCTGATGTGTTTGTAGTTTAGGCAGGTTAGAAGCACGCCTATACTGATTGGATCATGTTGGTTAGTTTGAACTGGTTTTGTTAGGTTTGAATGTGTGTGTATGCATTGAATAGCCATGACTTATTTGATAATGTATTGTGTAAGTCACGTGAATGTATTAAACATCATTGTCATGACTTATGATGAAGTTCATGTGTATGGTGCTTGTGTTATTGATTATGTATGTATGTTTGGTGTGATTTTGCAGGGCTGGTATGGGCTTGAAATGAGCATATGCTCGTGAAGATTTTGGTTAAGGCATGGAATCAAGACATGGGTCAAGGAACAAGTTATGGCACATCAAAATGTGTTTTCTTTGAAACACACCAAGGCTCATAAAAAGATTGAAGGTTTTGGAGGGATGCCTTAGAATAAGGCTTAGGTTTAGCTAGTTGACCACTTTGGTCAACTATTTGAACAAAAAACCAACCGTTGATCAAAAGTAAACTCTAAGTCAAAGTAGCATTTTTTTTATATAATTTGATTTTGGCTTTTGCAATGGAATTTTTAAGGTTTTGTAATGGAAATGGCTCTTTGAATGGCATGTAACTTGTATTCTGATTAGTGGGTTTTAGTCGTGTATTTCAAACTATGTATGTCGTTTGTTTTCAATGTTTTCGTCCGTTTTCGAGTCTTTTGTTTATGTTTTCATCTTTATTTTCAGTCGCCTTTGAGAAAGTCTTATTTTGAGGTTTGTATCATTTTATGCCGCTGGTGCGTTTGATTTGGTTGTTTTTAGTGTGTTTTCAGCAGGAAGTGGTGATCCGATATCCGTGCCGTTTCGGGGACAAAGACCGCCGAAGAAGTGGAAATCAGAGGCCTGACACGGGTGCCCGTGTCACCTGACACGGGCCCGTGTCAGGAGGGTCATGGATGGAAGATTTGAAGAGGAAACCATGCAAAAAAGTCATGCAACACGGGTGCCCGTGTCCCATGACACGACCCGTGTTGCAACCCCTGAAGAGGAAGGACACAACCAAGATTTGAAGAGGAAAATGGCAGAACATACGTGCAACACGGGTGCCAGTGTCCCATGACACGACCCGTGTTGCAACCCCTGAAGAGGAAGGACACAACTAAGATTTGAAGAGGAAAATGGCAGAACAGACGTGCAACACGGGTGCCCGTGTCACACAACACGACCCGTGTTGCAGCCCTTGAAGAGGAAGGACACGCCCTTTGATTCAGCAGCCTGACACGGCCACCTGTGTCCCATGACACGACCCGTGTCAGGGCCACTAAAAGTTAACTTGCTTTTTTATCTCGTTTTTAGGCTGGCTGCGCTGTCTCGAAGGGCAGTTTAGACATTTCATAATGTAATTTGAATTTGGATATATTAGCCGCATTGTGGCTAAGTGAGGATTACTTTTTGAATTTTGGATCTAGTTTTTACACTTGAGAAGGAGATTTCTGGAGAACAAGGATCGATCAAAAGCAGAAGCAATTGATGATCCAAGGACACCAATCCCTATTGTAATGACTTTCTCCCTTTTATTTTTAAGTATATTTGTTTTGATTAAGAACATGAGTGGCTAAACCCCCATTTGTTAGGGGGTGGTCCTAAATTGCAATGTATTGACCTTTGTTGGGATTATTCTATGAGATTTATGTTGTTCACCTTATATCTTTTATTTTGCAACGATCTTAATGCGAATTCGTATTGGAAAATGGAATTTGATTGACAATTAGGTTTAGGTCTGGAAAGTCAACCTAATGCTTTTGCAAAATAATATTACGGTTGATATTGCCTAGAAATGGGGATACCCCGTAACAACGTGTTTCTTATGTCAGAACTATTGCTTGATAATTTTTATGTGCAACTAAGGAATTAGTGCGTAGGAAAATTATCAAAGGGTTTTTCATTAAGGAATTAAGGAAAACTGATTTTGAAATTTGACTTAAATTAAGGTTGGAGGCAAGTATCTCAGAATAATTCTTTCAGGTCTTTACTAGCAATTTATCCACTTCTCTAGCATTGTTCTTATAATTACTTTAAACCGTTATTTTTCTAGTACTAGTTTTTATAACTTTTTACGAAAACCCCAAGTTATTTTTGTTCCTTTGAATCATAAAATCACTGTTGATTCCTACGCAGTACTCGAGATCGATACTCGGGAAATTTTCCTTTATTACTACATCGGTAAAAATAGTACACTTTCTATTTTATCGATCAAGTTTTTGGCGCCGTTGTCAGGGAACTGCCAAATTAACTTTGTTTTTAGGATTTAAAAGAAATTTTGTTGCTCTGCGACTAAAAATTTTATTTCTGCCTTTATTATCTTTTTTTTTTTTAAAAATATCTAACTTCTGTCTAACTGTGTATGCGAGGTCAGGCCTTAACTAAATATTCTTTTGATACAGAACCAGAGCGAGCATTGCACGAAAGACTGAGAAAAGTTAGAGTTGAAAGACTGGCAGGATCAAGTGCATGCCCCGGTGTTCTGTTGCTAGAAAGAGAAGAAGAGGTATTTGTGCATAGTGAAGTGATTCAGAAGCAGAGAGGGAGACAACACCAGAAACTATTCAAATGGATGGGAATCAACCTCTGCCTGAAAGACTTTTGGGAGACTATGGAGGGGCCAATGCTCAACCAAATCGGATGATCATCGTAAACCAACCGGTGAATGTGACACACTTTCAGCTACATCCTTCCATAATTCGCCAGTTGAAGAGCAAGCCTTTCGCTGGAAGAATCAATGAAGATGCAAACAAGCATCTGCAGAGATTCCTAACGACTACCACATCTTTGAAGATAGAAGGCCATTTTGAAGAGGCCAAGAGACTTGTTATGGTTCCGTTCACACTGACTGATGATGCGGAAGAATGGTTCTACTCACTTCCAGCTGGGAGTATCACAACATGGCAAGAGATGGAAACTGCATTCCTTAACGAGTATTTCCCTGCTTCAGTGTTTATTCGAAAAAGATACGACATTGTCAACTTCAAACAAAAAGAAGGGGAATCTCTAGGAGATGCATATAAAAGGTTTAAGAGGTGTCTGACGGCATGTCCTACTCATAACATGGATGCCACTGAGCAGATGCAGAACTTTGTGAATGAATTACGACTCAAGACAAAACAACTTATAGACACTGCTGCCGGTGGCTCGACTAATTTCTCAACAGCCACTGGTATCAAGAGGATCATAGAAGCAATTGCCGCCAATGAGCATCTTGAGCTGTATGATCGCACTGTGAACCAACCGGAAGGTAAGATTGATTTGAAGCTGGATGATCAGGTTGTTAAAATGGAGGATCAAATCGCCGCCGAGGTAGAGAGAAGGTTAAAGAAGATGAATATTGGAACTCAGACAGTGGCCCAAGTTGAACCAGCTCAAGCGCCACCTTGTGAAATATGTGGTGGACCACACTTTACCGTGCATTGTGTAGCTACTCAAGAGCAGGTTGAACAAATTAATATGTTGAGGCAGAACAATCCTTATGCCAACACATATAATCCATGTTGGAAAAATCACCCCAATTTTCACGGAAAGATTCGCAAGGAAATGTGCAGAAACCAGTTCAAGACCAACAACCGTACCAACCACAACAACAACAATATCAGCATCCACCATACCAACCTCAATATCAACAACCTCAACAACAAGCCCCTAGAAAAGCTGATTGGGAGGTCGCCATTGAAAAGATGGCTGCCCAAAGTTCACAATTTCAGGAAGAGACAAGGAGCAACTTAAGGAATACTGGTGCATCCATTAAAAATCTTGAAGTTCAGATGAGTCAGATTGCTCAACAACTTGCGAGTTCTCAAGCGCCGGGTACACTTCCAAGTGCTATAGTGCCAAATCCTAAAGATCACCACCAAGTTAAGGTTGTAATAACAAGAAGTGGTAAATCCAAGGAAGTGGAGGAAAAAGAAACTGAGTTGAATGATCATATGATTGAAGTAGAACTGGAAATAAAAGAGAATGATGTAGTTGAAGAAGAAGTGGTAACACCAACACCGGTAACTAAGGAAAAAGTAGTAGGACCGAAACCAATAATCAAGCTCCCTTATCCCTCAAGGAATAAAAAGAAAGGACAGCAGGAGAAGAATTTTGAGAAGTTCCTTGAGTTGTTTAAAAAGCTAGAGCTGAACATTCCGTTATTGGAGGCACTAGAGCAAATGCCCACCTATACTAAATTCATGAAGGATATCATTGCTAAGAAGTGGACCAATGAGTCCGAACCTGTTATTCTAACCGAAACTTGTAGTGCTATTTTGCAGGGTTTGAAGATCCCGATGAAGA